GAGCTCCGTGCTCTTTTCTCGGAAGCGGAAAGTCGTATCTTTGTTAGTGTTCATTCATGTTGATGGATCCGTTAATTGCTTACAATTATTACAGTCTGGTGCTGAGGTTCCCAGACAGAGTAGCTCATTGATTTTGTTTCATAAGCACAGACACAATAGCGAGTGTATGCCATGCCCTGGGGTCATTATCACTTTGCATGCAGGCCAGTGTCTATTAGGAATAACAGTGACCTATAGTGCACAATATTCAGTGCCTAGAACATAAAGGCAAGCAGCCACCAGAATAATGTATACACTGTATCGTCCAGTTCATGTAGTGAAGCAGCGTCACCCACAAGTAAAAAAAATAAAAAAAAAAAAAAATCCTGTTTGGTTTAATTTTGAGGGGGTCTTCTAACCAGCACTTATTTAAATGTCTGTGCTGCCCATGTTCCTTGCATGGATCTTAACTCAATTTTCTGCCCAGTCTACCTAGATTTCTGCTCTCCTCCCCTCCATTCTTGTTTCTAATTTACTATTCTTCACCCATGCTCTTCACTTATTTGACATAAATTCTCCTCCAGATGTTGTGGACTGAATCTCCCATTAGGCTCTTTCAGACATTGTGCTGGCAAATCATAAGGGGAGATGTAGTCTACCACATCTGAAGGGGCCAACGGTTGCCTAACCATGGTCTACTACTGTTTTTTTTTTTTATACACCCTCAAGAATTCCTTTCCCTAATTTGTTCCTTTTTTTTGTCTTGTTTCAGCTAACGGTGTCATCGCTTTGTTTGCCCACACTTTGCTACTTTAAATTTTTATTTACTTTTATATCCTGCTAGCAATTTCCTTCTTACTTAACCTTCCCATCCACTAGTTTGACTGCTTGTTCAGATGTCCCCTTGAGCTTCTTCATGAAGCTGTCGAGGAGTTGTGGGGACTGACTCAACATTTGAATCTAAAATACTATCCTACAAGACTAGGAGACACAGAATAGTTGCGAATTAGTTGTCCGTAGAATAGTTGGCCTTAACAGGGTACCTAAAAAGCTTAGTCAGGCTCAAGCTTAGTTTGACACAGTAAAGAATACATAGCTATAAGCTGAGCTTGATCAATGTTGCCTGATAACTGAGAAAACAAAAGTAAGCCATGTCAACTACTAAAAAAATAAATAAAAATAAAAATACATAAAATGTGTTACTGGGCATGGCAGGTAAAGCCAAAGCAAGGCAATGGCCTACAGCAAGGATAGACAATCTTTGGAGCTCCAGATATTATGGACTTATCCTCCTCTGATGCCTTGCTAGCAATATGACTGTAATAGAATTATGGGAGATGTAGTCCACAACATCTGGAGTGCCGAAGATTGCCTATTCCTGGCATAGAGTATCTGAAGAATTGTATTGCTTTGTGCGTTATTCCTGTTTGCCCAAAGCGTACTTGTGCATCTATGTGCAGAAAAGTTGTTGATTTTTCGCATGTTCTGTGGGTAAAAAAAGAACATGGTGTAACGTGTCCTTTCTTTGTCAATATTGTCCCTAGTAAGATGCAAGATACATAGCCAGCGGGAACAGTAAAGCATTTGCTTTGATTTCCCCCTCTTCTTGTATTTGGGCTTTTTTTTTTCTCCATACCACATTGTCTCACTTCTTCACTTATATCTTACCATGTCCCTCTGCCCAGTTACCTGCTCGCCACCCGCCCATTGATCCATTCTGATATTCATTGCTCTTCATCTTCTTCCATGACATCTTACCACTTATGTCTTTATAGAAGTCTGCAGAGACTGACTGGTCTCATGAGTCAAGAACAGAGGATGAAGTTGTCCTGATGGTATTGCAGTAGTCGAGAGATTTACGTTCCTGGCATTAGAAATCACTTTTCCTGATTGCTATAGTTCTAAATGTAATTTTTTTTAATTATATTTTTCCCTGAATGGTCAATAATTCATTTTTTTCTCTTACTTTTTTTTTTTTTTTTCAAGAGCAACATTAGTTTGGGAAATAGGATCTTTCCAGCTTAAAGTGTATGGAGATGGATTGAGTCCTACGTCATGGATAAATTTGCTGTCTGTCTTTTCACTGCTGATTTTGCCACAAATTTAATTACATGATTTTGCGATTATATGACGAAAAGTCATGATTTTATTAAAGACACGGAGGCGAGTATTGCATATCCCTTTCTTTAATGTCCAGCAATAGCAGCAAAGAATACAAAACAGAATGAAAAAATAATGCATACATAGTAACATAGGCCATTCTCAGCCAAGTCCCAGTATAATAGCAGGCACCACCCGAATATATTCCTCTTTTTTTTGAAGATGCGACACCATAACAGAAAAAGTCTGCGACCCGGAACTAGCAGACATAATCCATCAGCAAAGGAAATGTAGAAGGCCATAACTCGTAACCCAGGGCCACTTGATCAACAACAGGGACCCAGTCCGGAACATCCACAGAATAGCTCCAATCAATATAATTATCCTCCTATTAAGATGAAAGACACTGTAAGGAGGTCCAAATCAAGCTGTGAAAACATAAAGAACAGGAGCCCAAGGATTAAATCGGTAATATAGACCAACTTTAAGGCCATATAACTTATAGGTATAATCTACATCCCAAAATGACCAGAAGCCCAACCCAAATCCGAAATGGGTTCAATCAAACCAGAACCACATGAATACAATACCCCACTTACCATACCATCAAATCCAATCCCTTCAACAAACAACATGGGTGGGTAAAAGCATATCAATAAAAACTGAAAAAATAAGTAAATATCGGATGGGACTATACTCGCCTGCGTGTCTTTAATAAAATCATGACTTTTCTTCATGTAATCGCAAAATTATGTAATTTTATTGCAAGACACTGAGTTTCATATTGCAAGTTTAAAGCTGATCAACCACCGCAGAAAACGCGAGTAATAGGTTGAAAAATAAGATTCACGAGACCTCGATTCTCGCGACCAGCCCTCCTCATAAGATCCTCCAAACGAGCGCCCAATGCCATAATCGGGAGGCAGATGCGCCCCTTACAGAATGCGCTCCAAAAACAGAAAAGTCGATACCAGCCTGGTCCAAAATCAATTTCAACCAACGGGACAACGTAGCGCTCACCACTGGAGCAAAAGGAGGTCAAAAAGTCAAGAAAAGTTGGGGCGTAGACGCGGAACTGTGTGGCCTGGTATGATCTGCATATTCGCGTAAACACGCCACCGGACACAAATTTGGTATAGAAGGAAATGCCGGATACAACCTTGATTTGATAGGTTTATTACGTCTAGAAATAATGAAAGTCACACCCTCCGGAGTGTATCCAACGCACGGACATCCAACACCCTTTTGCAAGAGATGAGGCAAAAGAGACAAACCAATTTAGCCAACAATTGATGTAACGAAAGAACCTTGTTAGAAGGCCAGGCACTGACAAAAGACAGAACAGAGACATCCCATGTAGATGAATAATGCGGTCTAGGCAGACTAGAGAGACTAGAACCACGGAGAAGACGACACACCAAAGGATGTTGGCCAGCAGGGCAACCATCAAACCCCCGGTGGGTCGAAGATATAGCCGACCTGTATAGATTGATCGTCCAGTAGGCCCTGCCAGCTTCAAACAGAAGTCAGGAATTCCACAATTGTCACAGGGGCTGAAACTGGATCTATGTCCCTAGCCAGGCACCAGCCAGCCCAAGCTCGCCAAGCTGACCCATATGATCGTCTAGTTCCGGGAGCCCCTGTGTATGCCAGCGATAGTTGAGTAGTTTCCAGAACTCCCTAGATCTCCCAGGGTCTCCCGAAATCCGCCATGCCATGAGAAGAAGGGGTCTCTCCACAAGTAGAGGGTGACATCCTCCCGTCGGATCACGAAGCAGGCCTGGGAACGATGGCAATAGCCTGGGACCGTCTACCGATTATCTCCAGAAGTTGAGGGAACCACGACTGAATTCCCCAAAACTGAGTCACAAGCACCAGTTCCGCTAGTTGTCGGTGAACCTGAATTCCAAACCGCCTGGCTATTGTGTAGGCCCCGGGAGATACTCCGTGTGCACCATCAAGTTTCGAGCCAGACAGAACTCCCAAAATTCCTTTGCCAATCTGCCAGGGTTGCCCACTGGGTGCCGCCCATGCGGTTGACATATTTCACTGTGGAGATGTTGTCCATGCGGAGACAAATGCACGCCAGAAGTTCCAACACATTAACGTGAAGTCAACGACCCCACATCGACACACCTTCGCGGTTGGCACCCCAGCCGTGGAGACTTGCATCAGAGTCTATGGTGAACTCCGGTTGCGAGCCAAAGATCGCCCTGTCGTGCCACGCAGACAGATTGAGTACCCAACACTGTAGTGTGTCCCTCGGTACGCCATCCAGGGTAACCAGATCCGTGTAAGATGTGCCCTCTCGTAGATTAGCCATATTAAGCTCTGGAGAGCACCGTAGTGGAGAGGAGCCGGATAGACGAAGCTAACAGTCCGATGAGCCATGCCAAATGACGCAGGTTGATCAGTGGACGGAGAAGCACCCTACGCAGTTCCTTGCGAATTGTCCGAATCTTGGCCGTTGGCAGGCTCAACGATTCTCCCTCCGAATCCACCCGGAAATCCAGAATTCCATGCATCTGGATGGGGTCAAGCAGGACTTGTCCCAGACGACGATGAATCCCAGTTGGGTGCAAAGCAGATCTCAAGAAGGTACCGGAACCGTCAGATACACGTCCTTCAAATCTAGTTTCACCAACCAGTCTCAGAGTAGGAGTAGGTCCCTCGGAAGATGGATGCCCTCCATCTTGAAATGGCGGTAGCTCACCATAGTATTGAACGGGCGTAAGTTGATGACAGGGCGCATTTGTCCACCTTTCCTTTCCACCCTGAATATAGTGCTTATGACCCCTGTGGGGTCTAGAGGAGCCAGTACGCTTGCCTCCTTGTCGCGGAAGGCTGGCAATTCCCCACCGATCAACTTGCGCTCACTGAGTGAGAAACCAAACGATCAAGGAGTTGGAATATCGTAAGATGTGTTCACGAGGTCCATATGAAAATTCGCACCCATGTGTCTGAGGTTATTGCCGGCCAAGCTAGGAAACAAATTATGGAGTCTGATCCCTACACAAACAGGAGAAGAAACTTGAGGTGTATGTAGACTTACCGTATGGGCGTTCTGCTTCTAGTAGTCCACGGAAACCGCTCGACTGCCATGGCTGTCCCCATGATGGGAAGAAAGGGGATCGGATCCTTGTCTCCTGGAAAACTGGTAGACCCACCCTTGGAACACCCTTCGCATGGAGGGTTTTGTCTTGTCCAAGGCAGTAAATGCCCCTACTAAGTGTTCCAGATCCATGATAAAGGAATCGCCAAATAGTAAACTCTGAACGCCGTTCCATGGATAGGGAGGCATTAACACTCCCGGCAATGCATATTGCTCACGGAGTTCCTCCAGGTCCACCATGTGGTTCTCTGGCATCTTCCGCTAAGTCAAATAATTTCGCCAGGGGGCCAAATACCTCAAGGTGTATGTCTTGGCACAATCTAAGTGCATCTTGCACTGAGCGCTGTAGTACTGAAGTTTGAGTGTCCTCTGTGTGGTCATACGAGTCCACCAATGGGTGCGGAGCGTCAGTTAGTGGGGCCTCTCCAAGGCCAGAGGGGTATCCATCCCCCCAGGGATAGGTGAACAGACAGGCACCCTAGGTTTAGGCATAATACCCATACTATTTATATGTATAGATTTAAAACTGGCATCTAAATAGCTGCAAAGTTACCAGAGTAGTAAGGTTAATCACCAAACTATATAAAAACCAGGAAAAAGTAACAAGGTAAAAATCTCACCAGGGCCCAGACCAGCTGTAACTACATGAGGCAGGCAAGCAAAGACACCGAAGGGGGAGGAGAAGGACCGGAAGGAAGCACACAGTCCCCACAGCTCACGACACTCGCAGGAGGCAACAAGCCCCATGTGCATAACTAAAATTACTAGCGAATGGGCGTGTCCGGCTCCCGAACGAGGCACGTCTGTGGGTCGGATGTGTCCAGTATGGCAAAATAGGCGAACGGGCAAAACAGTTGAACGTTTGGGTAAAAGTCTGCAAACGTGGTCACAAACGAAAGCACCTGGCGTTCGTACAATAAAAACTACTGAACGCCAGTCCACACTGGTCAAACGGAGCAGAGGAAGGGCGTGAAAAAGAGCGCCAAATGGCCCGGGACTACTGGGAGCCCCAAAACAGAAGTGGAAACAGGAACACGGGAGGGTAAATAGAAGAAAAACAGAACAGTCCAGCAGGAATAAAGGCCAGGCAGAGAGGAACAGAACTAGAAGCCTAAAGCCGGGACAATGGAAAAAAGGGTAGGGGTATAATTGAGAAAACCCAGACAGAGCAGGTTTAGCTGGTTTGGGACCCTGAGTCTACCAAAAATACTGCAGTACACACAAACTGAAAATACATGCACAATAACCTCAAAATAGCAAACAAAAACCACAATAAAATGACAATCACAAAGAAAACAAATTAGGTACTTATCTGACTGTGGAGCAGCAAAGAAAGAGGAATATATTTAGGGTGGTGGTAAAACCCCTTCAGCCACTTACCTTTATCCAGCGCCAGGCTCCCTCGGTGCTGGTGACCTCTCCTCCCCCGCCGACGCCAGCTCCCAAGTCGAGCATAATGCGCATGCGCGGCAAGAGCCGCGTGTGCATTCAAACAGTCCATAGGAAAGCATTTTTCAATGCTTTCCTATGGACGTTCTGCACGCTGGATCTGAATTTCTCATCCAGCGTCGCAGAATCGGCTGTCAGGAAGACGGCCACTAGAGGTTGGATTAACCCTGCAATGTGAACATAGCAGTTTCTCTGAAACTGCTATGTTTACATCTGAAGGGTTAAAACCTGGGAGACCTGGCACCCAGACCACTTAATTGAGTTGAAGTGGTCTGGGGGACTATAGTGTCCCTTTAAACACATATAGGAGGCTCTTGCAGGGTCTAGCAAGCTATTAACATATCAGGGGATTAGAAAATCTAAATCAAACAGAACAAAGTAAAGATAAATTGTTGACAACTAAGCTCCCCCGTCCGTCAGCTTTCCTATGGACGCTCTGCGCGATGGAGGCATAATATCGTCGCAGATGTGCCTCTACTGGCTGTCCTGAAGACAGCAACTAGAGGCTGGCTTAATCCCGAATTTAAACATAGCAGTTTCTCTGAAACTGCTCTTTTGCATCTGAAGGGTTAAAACCTGAGGGACCTGGCACCCAGACCACTTCATTGAGCTGAAGTGGTCTGGGTGACTATAGTGTCCCTTTAACTCCTAGATGGCAGAGATTTAAGCAGTGAGACTGCAGGGGCATGATCTATACACCAAAACTGCTTCATTAATCTAAAGTTTCTTTTATGACTATATTGTCCTTTTATTGAGAGGCAAGTGAAGCAAAACAACTCTATCTCATCCAGTGCTTCCTGTTTTAACATCTGTATATATGTAAAAAAAATTGGATCCCGAAAACCCTTAAACACTCAAAGACACAACAATATAAACAGGGAACACTGAGAATGAATGAGATGAGCTGAACGTAAGCTTTCGCAAACAAGAGTTGTTAATTCCATAGGCAACAAATATCACAAGGTGAGACATGAATTAAGACTAAATAATTCACTCATAAAACATATATATTATAAAGCATTATTCCTTTAAGTTACGGTTTGTCGCACACTCTGTTGCTTGCTTTGATACTAAACTATTTTGATGGTTTCCAGTGGAAATGTCTCTATAGGCCCATTTGACTTCTGTCTTTGAGCCGCTTCCTCCTCCTGGTATAATGGTGTCACCAGGAACCATGACAGAACTAATGGATACGATTAGACATGCACCAGACCCATTTAAAGACATTCCCTTTTTTTTTATTTTATTTTTTTATTTCTTTGTACTGTCACTCTAAGCTGTGGGATTTTTCCGTGAAACAGATTGTTATAAAGTTACGGATTTCATTCACTTTACGTTGTATAGTGCAGTAACAAGATCATTAACTGAAGACGTGCAGTTTTTGGGAGGGTGATTTTGATATCTCAAGAAAAGCGTGAACCGTGGGATTTCTTGTTACAAAGATAAATGTATCAATATCTCAAACTAAGCAAACCTAACATAAGATAATACACGTTGTTCTGGTCATCTCTCCGCAATCCCCAGCCAAGTAAAGTGTATATACAGATACACTTTACATTTGTATTACTGACAAACTGTCACCTCAAACTTAACTTCTATTGTTTCCTCTTATCTTCCTCTTTCAGAAGCTATTCTTCGTTTATTCATTTATGTTCAATTTCTCTTTAAAATGTTAGACAAATTTGGGACTCCTTTTGTCTTTTGCATTTTTCCTACACTTGACAATTGTGACAAAATTTGTCAAAATTGCCAAGTGTAGGAAAATACATAACACAAAAACAGTTCACACTTTGTCTCATGCTTTAAAGGACCACTATAGTGCCAGGAAAACATACTCGTTTTCCTGGCACTATAGTGCCCTGTAGGTGCCCCCACCCTCAAGGACCCCCTCCCGCCCGGCTCTGGAAAGGGGAAAAGGGGTAAAACTTACCTTTTTCCAGCGCTGGGCGGGGAGCTCTCTGCCTCCGATCTTCCTCCGTTCCTCCCCATCGGCTGAATGCGCACGCGCAGCAAGAGCTGAGCGCACATTCAGCCGGTCGCATAGGAAAGCATTATCAATGCTTTCCTATGGACGCTTGCGTGCTCTCACTGTGATTTTCACAGTGAGAATCACGCAAGCGCCTCTAGCGCTGTCAATGAGACAGCCACTAGAGGATTTGGGGGAAGGCTTAACCCATTTATAAACATAGCAGTTTCTCTGAAACTGCTATGTTTATAAAAAAATGGGTTAATCCTAGCTGGACCAGGCACCCAGACCACTTCATTAAGCTGAAGTGGTCTGGGTGCCTAGAGTGGTCCTTTAAAGAGAAATAGATCAGAAACTGAGGGAAAAAAGAACAGATTCTGAAATTGGAAGAGAAGAGGAAACAATAGCAGAAAGGTAGATAAGAACCAGGTATCTTTGGATCCTGAAGTTTGTTAGTGCTGTCTTTTGTTTTGTTTGTCGTGTGTGGTTTGTTTGTGTGTTATTTTTTTTTCTCCTTTTAAGTAAAAAATAAATGATTGCCGTCTTAGTATGCATTTTTTGTATTATTCCATGAATTTGCAGCTTCCCTTTCATATCTCCCCAATATGCCATAAGATTAACAAATAAATAAATGACAGGAGGATTTGCATAAAAAGTGAAAATAGCAGAAAAAGTATATCTCAAACACCACCTCTACAATACGATTATTTTGATAGACAATTCATATGACGTGTGGAGCATAAAAAATTACATAACCGATCATTAATTATAATTACAATAATATTAATGGAATGCATGTAAAAACTAGATTAATAAAATGGGGGAAACGTTGACTTTCGGCTTGTACACTCCAGTGGTGGAATTTGCAAAAGTACAGCCATTGTTTTAAAGTTTTCACTATGTGTCAAAAATGACACGAAAACCAAATATTGCCCAACGTGTTTCTGATCTTCACTCGGCTTCACTTGGTTTTGTGAAGATATTCTTCATTCTCCCACTACTTTTTTGTAGGTCTCATTAGTTTGCTTTTTTTTTTTTTGCAGGTCACTAGATTGATTAATTTGGAGATACAGCTAATTGGAAGCTGTGTTCTGCTTTTTTTAGAGAATTCTTGGAGCAGGTTGACCATGGCAAAGTTGAGAGCCAGAGATATTGCCGAGTACATCTTTTATTGACTGGCAGAAGAGAGAAATCACTTGATTGGCTCAAAGTATCTATTATGGGATGGAAACGTTAGTAGGGGCAGTAGATAATTTGTATAAGTTTACCAACTACAGTAATTACAGGATTTGACACACTTTCACTATATATCGTATTCCATGTAGACCTGTTTGCATAGCTCTCTACCTTGATTCTCAAATTCTTCATAATGACTATTAAATGTGACTGTGTGGCTTCTACATTTTGTGTGTGTGTGTGTTATTTTTTTTTTTTTTAAGTTCTCTATCTTTAAAAAGAAATTGTTAAAATAGATTAAGATAGTTGTCATTGAAAAGTCATGTGAGTTTAGTTCCGTTCGAGATATGCAATTCAGCAGTTTCCAATCCAGGCAATATCTCTATTATGTGCACAAGAGGAAGTCAATCTTGCCGTAGGTGGA